CCCCCCCGCCTCTGTCCCCAATTCTGGTTTAATCCAGGCTTGGTAGCAGAGAGACCATGAGAGAAGCTATTCTTGTGGTATTTCCAAATCAGTCTGAAGGAGGGAACTGCTAGAAATCTTGCAAAAAAGCTTTTCTCTTCATAGTGTCAGGCCTACTTTGCACCCAAATACTCTTTCTAATTACAGTTGGAGGGCTAAACTGTTTGGGTGCTTAATTATAATGGAAATTCTGAACCCATCGTCAAGACTTCTTTTTAAAAGGATGTGCAAATCCTAGCATGCTGCTAGCCTATTGGTTTAGTTTTACAGCCCTTACTTCCTTTCCTCATCCTCCTCTTTGTCGCACGTCTGTGCAGGTTTAATAATCCATCATTCCTCTTTCATTTAATCTAAACTTTAAGGATTCCTATGGGCCAGATACTGTAAATTACATAGCCCTGCAGTGATATCATTGTGCCACTTTACACAAGCTGCTGTCCTGACCCTGTATATTTCCTATACTGTTATTGCCATGATCCTTCTCTTTATTTCCTGTTCACTTCTCTGAAACTGATTCAGGCCCTCATTACTTCCCCTCTTGACCACTGCAAATGCTTACTCTCTGACCTTCCTGATACATGCTTGGCCCTTCTCTGACCCCTACAGAATGCATCTTCAAGACTATCTCCTTGGCTTCTTGCTCTGATCATTCCCCCCTGTAGCATCCCATTTCCCACTTCCTGCAGAGCCTTTGAGCTGCATGGAGCCTGGTGCTTTGCTCTGCAGCTGTAAGTCAGTAAACTAAAACTCCTTAGAGGAGTTTGCTGCACCCCAGGTCACTTAAAGCGCATTACGCCACCAAAATTTGTTACAGCAGCTGGAATTACTGTGCAATACGCCGCTGACATGTGCAAACACCACCATTAAAGCGGTGCAAAAGCATTTAACCCACTTTAAAGTGTCATGCACACATGCCTCTCATTTCGTCTACACACAACCTTAGTGCCAAACACCTGGAAGTATGTTATTACCCTCATAGTTCAGGGAATCCATTTGTTAACATTTAAGTTTCTGGGCTTTATGGTTGTAGAGTGGAGCTCATAAATGGGAACCCCAAAGCCTGGGACATCTTAAGTGAAATAAAGCACTCAGCTGGTTATGATTTTTTTTTTTTTTTTTAAGCCAGCTTCATGATTTTTAAGGACCTAGGTTGTGAGAGATTGTTTGTTTGGGGTTTTTTTTTTTTTTTCTCCCTGAGTTTTTTGGAAATGGTAATATTGTCTGTGATACAAGCTCTGTAGTATATTGTTCCATCAGGCCTATTCCTCAAGGGTAAGGTCCAAACCACTTCTACAATACTCCTGTGGAGTGTTGCTCTTCAGCAGATTCTGGCCATCCACTCCTCTGTATATGCCAAACATTGAAAGGAAGTGGTGAAGCCAGCCCAGAGGTACCCTTCTACACCCCAGTGATCTTGAGATCTCAGTGTGTTGGAGAGCAGGAGTGGGAAGCACACTCAGAGGTGTCCTTTTGTGGTTTGGTGTGCAGGGAGCAGTAGTGGGCGTGTGGGATTTGTGGCATCACTGAGAGCATTGTGGAAGTGGTGTAGTCCTACTACTAATTTAGGCTCCTATTCTGACATCAGAGCACAAGTTGTTTTCCAGAATGGGAAGCAAAAAAGCTTAGAGGAGAAAGGGAAGGCAGTAAGAGCATTCATTGTCTTCAGTTCCCTGTGGGTAAACAG